CACAAATCATTAATGCTTGTTACCGTTTATGGGTGATCATTATATCAGTGCCTATTAGTATATAGGTCATAGACAGAGTGGGCGTCATCGGAAAATTTTCTTAATGACATTCAATTGATTTTATATAACCGTATGTAGTAATGTACTTGATTAGTTCGCAGTGGGCCTGATATGGAAATTTGCCAAAGAACTAAAGTTACCGACATAGCTTGCAAAATTTGTAGACTGAAGTGGCAATGTGCTGGCCACATCGCTCGACGGACTGACAGCAGCTGGGCCAGGCCACTCCTTAAGCGGAGACGAAGCATGGGCAGGCCTCCCGCGATGCGGTGAGCCAGTGAATGTAGGCGGTGAGTTGTCGTTCAACGTGGAGTACCTACTTAGGAAGATTCCTTTGTTCAGGAGTGGACTCCTTTCGGTTGTTAATGATGATGATGATGAAGTCCCTGATTATGTAAAACCAAAAAATTACAATCACCTTTCCGAAAATACCTTCATCTGCAGGGAGTGAACTTAAGGATGGTCCAAAAAGATCAAAATATGTTCTTACATTAGCAGCATTATGGTGGAACGTTTATGCGGGAAAAATAATCAGTTGACCGCATTTGCCAGCCCTGCCGCTCCAGTGACGAAGGTACTCTATATTAAGACTCGTTTCAAGGTTTATCGCGGCCATTTTACGGTCAGTAGATCTCCCTCGCATACTAGCCTAATCCAAAATACTGCTGACTTTACTTGATCAAAATTTTGGGAGATTTTCACAAAGCTATGTGGAAATTTTCCTGAATCTATATTTACCAGTCGGTTACCCTTTGGTTTGCTTTCAGTTATCATATAGTTTTCATCATCATCAATGTCTATTAGGCCATGAAAATTGGCGATTATAACACGAAATCTTAGGGTATTCGCGGATCAAAACGGAAGCTAATTTTTTCCAATTGTGTTAGTGTCCTTACTAGAAAAACAATTACTACTTCATTCAAGAATTATTAATTTACTACTTCATTCTCACTTAAACAATTTAATTTACGATTTCATTTATAACCTTAAATATAAATTTACGTAGGTCTCTTTAAAGCATAACATTAGTAAAATCAAAATATCTAACATTTGGGCGACTGTTTGTGGTTTGGAGAATTCGGTCGGCGCTCGCATGCGACTGACGGTTCAGGAGCACGAGACCGCACCAAACGGGCCCTAATTGATGCACGAGATGCAAACACCACTGACATTTATCTGGCCATATATTTGTACTGTATTTTATTATAAAATTACAAAAAAGCTACTTTTAGTACCAAAACGGTTATGTATGTATGTTTTAATCAGATAGAAGACGTCAACTACTAACCAAATGTCTTCTGTGATTCTTACAAAATCTGACAAGGAACTTGCGTTATAATATTGATTATATCAATTCACTGTCATAAATTAAACAGTAAAAAACTATACCGTCATTAGTTCAATTTTTTTACTGAGAATTGAGTAACATTTTTCGAACGAATTTGAATTATGTTCTGCGACCAATGTCTAATAGACTTTAAATATTTACTAAACTATTAATTTCATAAACACTTACTGTTTTAGATTACTGTATCGATTTATAAAGAGTTACTAGTATTAAAACTATGAAATGGATTACCCACAGAAAGCCATAAAAAGAGATGAGTGGAAGAAAGGTAAGCCTTGCCCTGCAGTGGAACGAGAATGGCTACAAATAAAAACTAATATTAAAATTAAAATATCGTTAATATATATATCTTTATTATTTATATATATCGTTAAGTATTTATATATATCGATAGATTGAAGCAATTTGTTTTATGAAAATAATTATGATAGATATTATTTCGTTTAATCCTTTACATTTGTAAATCCTTTCATCAAAACAAACAGTAGCTTAATGTAACATTTTAATATTCAATAAATAAACAGCAATTTAATGATTAAACCTAGCATTTGTTTGTTCAATTTAATATTTGTAAAAACGAAACAACAATTTATATTTATTTGACTAAATAAATAAATAATTCAGTATATATTAATAACCATTAATGTTCACATTTAAACATTCGTGTAACATACTGAATTTATTATTATGTTTTTTGTTTACTCACGTAATAATTTGACGAGGAACTCGACTAGTTTCAAGCCACGCTAGAGGCTCATATTCATGAGTAGCATTTCGCGATACACGACGCGCCGACTTTCTCGATGCTACCGCGTTCCTCGTCAGTTACGTGAGTACGCCGAACACATAATAATTAACCATAAAAGTATCGAATGAAGAAATTGTTTAACCAAATTGTCTTTATAACATAACATAATTTCACGCCTTTTATCCCCGAAGGAGTAAGCAGAGATGCACTTTGTGCCACTGTATAATTTTTCAACACCCACTTCTCATTATTTATGTTATGAGTCCCATCTAACAGGGAGTGAGCCTATCGCCATATACCGGGCACAATAGAGTAGACGACTAATTTTTATTTTAATGTCCGTCTGGTAGATTATTTTCAAACATTAGACACGTATTTTTTATTTTCTTACGGAAACGAATACTTTCGACGATATATTGATTTGAAATGTCACGTGACGTCACTTCTCAGTACATTTTATACTAAGAAATGACGTTTTAGCCCCCACTCCTAAACTTTGACTCGTTTTATCTAATTATTGTTTTATTATACGACAAAATAAAAAAATTCATGACTAATATTTTTTAATTACCTAACTTATGGACTAATTATATTTTTAATTTTTATACCCTGTCATCATCCCCATTTCAGACTCCGTGCTACTACTGAGAATTTTTTAAAACCCCAGTAATATTTTGCGACACGGGAATCAAACCCGACACCGCTTTCATCAAGCACTAGGCTAACGAAGCAGTCTTTATAGTAGGCACTAATTCAAAATAGTAAAATAGCAATCACGTCACATTTTATTCTCGTTTTTATAACAGAAACACAATAACTCAAAACCTTAACTAGAGGTAGATTAAAATAAAAGAAAAAGTAATTTAAACCCTACTGAGTAATAAATATAAAACTTCACTTTGAATGGAGTATAAAAATGACAAAACAATACATCAGGTGTTGATCATCCCACGCTAAGGGTTGCCAACGTAAAATACAAAAATATTCTTTATTAATTCATAACACCCTTTGTTTAAAAACGGTACAGTAACAAAAACCTATTTGAAATAGGTACTATAAATTTAGAACCTTAGAGAAACTAACATTTATATATTGTCTAAAATAACTCTCACGTTAGAAAATATATGATATACCCGCATTAAAGTTCATCTTCACGATATACATACATACACACATACATCTACACGGGTACGTGTGCCACCCACCTAACGCCTCTCACCACACAGGTAAGTAACCCAATAAAAATAGAAATAAAACCTTTTTAATTAACTCCAAATATTTCTTCATATTTTTGCTCAACGCTTTACAAATTAAAAATATTATGAACCTCCAAACAACTCAAGGAGGGTTTCCTTTTTTATGTATTTTTTTAAACAGCCATTAGGAGTTGCGTGCAAAGATCATCGGAGGCTGGGGAGCTGGGGCGGGGGAGGTGGGGTGAGGTTCATCCCCTTCGCTATTTTTGGGGCTTGAATTATAGCTCGACCAAACATTGAAGACCTTTTACCGAATTTGCCATTGCGTTTTACGACCTACTACTAAGCGTCGGTTGGTTAAATTATTCAGAGCCAAATGCTTTTTTTCCTAACACTTGATGTGGGTATAAGCTGCGTTTATTAATAATGATGCATTGCTTTTTTCCGTTACCACTTTGAGATTTTTCCTGTTGAACATTTATTTTTTTATTCTATTTTTAATGTATTTTAAGTTATAAACTTTTTAGGCTCATGGTAAAAATTATTAAATACACATTTAAATTCTGTTAACTCATTATTTATACAAAAAAAAAGAAAAATAAATATATCAAAATCTATTACTCATACAATAACACCATTATAAAAATATAACAAAAACAAAACGCACATAACACGCACATAACGCGCAGATAACACGTAAATCAAAATTGATTCATGATCTAAATTATCATAAAAAATAAATTACTAACATAAAAATTTTACAACAAATTTTCTTCAATAAAACGCATTAAATCACGTCATACCGCAGGAAATTACCAACGAAACTGCGTGAAATTTATCAAATAATTCGACAAGACAACTGTACACATCTCAACAACGTCAACGCAATAGCGAAACAAGAAATTTCAAATAATCAACCTATTCACACAAAGCGAATTTACTCGCGTATCTAAGGGTGAGCGAAAGGGAGGATTGTATCAAGACCGGAGACTCCCCCATGGCGTGCTATGAGGGGACCTCGGAGGGAATTTTAGGTTAGTGGACATGTAGGCATATAGACGGGAACACGGCAAATTTGTTGTCTCATTTAGTTCGTGTTTTGTGCTTTTCGTTTGTGCGTCAAGTCATGGTTAATCGTCGTCAAGTGCTAATTTAAGTTAGATAAGTATTTTAGTGATAAGTGTGTTGGTGGAAAAAAATGTACAATTTTTCTTGTTGACATTTTCGAGTGTACAGTGACAAATTTCGTGTGAACAATCAAAGGTAAACGGTGGAATAAAAAACAAAAATAATAAAAAAATAAATATAAAAAATTAACGTGTGTCGGTCGGCGGTTTGTTTGTAAACAGAGCCCCGTGTGACGCGCTCTCGCTACGTAAACACTAACATTATACACTTTTCACGTGTGAAAAACTATAAAAACATTCGATTTAAGTGGAAATATTTAGAAGTACAAAAAATAAGTGTTAGTTATTTTGTCGCTCAAAATTGATGTGTAGAATTAGCGGTGTGCCAAATTTTTCTCGTTGTTAATTATAGTCATTGATATAAATAGTTTACTTAAATGTTTTAAAATAAGTGTGTAAACAAGTGTAGTTTCAAAGTAATTCGATGTGCAATATATGTTATAATATCTAATTAAATAATATAAAAATAAAAATTATTAAAATAATACAAAAAATATCACTCATAAAAACAGAAATAAATTCGCGTCAGTGAGAAAAACGGGGGGACGAGTGTACTGCCTACTACTGTTACTATACCGATCGATAATATTACGCATTACGGGGCGACTGTGAGAAGAGACGGAACGCACACAGACGCAGCTCTAACGCACACTCACACAACTCAGCCCCACCTCCTAAACACTCGCCCTCCGCGAAAAACGAAAGTAAACACGAGTGAGCTTTAAAAAAACTTGCAAACCGAATTTATAGATTAAGGCAAACGAAGTACAAAGCACTGTGATTAAAAATTTGTGTTCATTAAAGTCTGTTAACTGTGATAAACATGATTGTGGGAGCGAATATGCGAAGTGTGAACCCAATGTTGTTGGGTTACAACATGCAAAACGTGAACATGGTCAGTGTTCCTCAAAGTAGGGAGTCGAGCATCGGCACGGCGCCGTCGACGCCGGTGCACAGCCACAGCTCCGATCCCAAGCGCTCGTCCCCGCTGACGCCAGCGGAGCGGACGGGCGCGCCGCCGGGCGCGGGAAAGGACGCCGTCAAACTGTTCATAGGCCAGATACCGCGACACCTCGAGGAGGACGATCTGAGACCCATGTTCGAGGAGTTCGGCAAGATTTACGAGCTCACGGTGCTTAAGGATAAGCACACGGGCATGCACAAAGGTCGGTAATGATTTATTGTCGATTAGAAATATGTTGCGCGGTAAGTGTTCGTAAATTTTATGCTCGTACCCCGCCAGCGATATGAGAAAATATTCTGAAGATGATAACGCTTCGAACGTCAATTTCGGAGCACATAAAGACGTTTTCATGTGTCTGATGGAGAGTAAACTTTGACAACGACTGTAGGTAATTGGCCCGAGCTTATCCAAGGTCATGTCATAATATTTATATTTTTGTTACGCAAATGTCACAGACAGAGACAGATTTTATTATCCAATGTCACAATGGAAAGCGTAGTAATTGAGGAAAACAGGGTTCATTTCGTGAGCATGACGCGCTGAAATTCAATTTTATTCAGCGTCAATGTAAAACTGGTTTTAATTTTATTTATGAGATCTTTTTCCGTTATTGCATTGGTATTCAACAACTTTGGGAGACCTCAAATTACAAATTATATTGGTTACTCATTAATAAAACTGTAGCGTGAAGTCACATTTCACAGATCACGTCAACAATAATTACCAAAATTAATTATGCTTTATTGGAAGACCTCACCTGATTATTTATTACTTTTTATTCATTTTGACTTTTTAAATCTTTTCTTACATTCGAATAGCAATATATTAAGCCCATCGATAGTTAAGAGAAAGTGAGGCATTGCAGTAGCCATGTATCTCTCCAAGTTGTAAAAGTCAGTTGGAGTGAACAGTTACTTATCGCAGTTCCCGGGGATGTGTTCAAGCTGTGAGTTCCACTATCGGTCAGTGTGTACAACACTATTGTTTCTCACATGATGTATTGGTGTTGTGGTCTTTAGCTGCGGATGCTGCTAAATGGAGCTTGAAAACTGATTTTTATTTGTTGTTAGAAATATTTTCTGGTTAAGATTTTCTTTTGGAAAATGTTATTGATTTGTGTTTTGATGAAGTTGTTTACGTGGAACAATTTATCTGATTTATTATGATTATCTTCTTAAATAAATAAGTTAACATTGAAATCGAACCTCTCAAGGTCCTTAAATCTTTTTAACAATAAAGTCTTTACACAGCATACGACACTACTTTTCCAATTATTTTGAATTCTAAAGCTAATAAAATAGATCACAATTTACCTCTAAAAGCACCTACGTAGAAACTTTAATCTCATTATTGTACGAAAGTGAAGTATCCCTTTACCTTTTGCAATCGTCGTGGCAACCCCAAGATGTAGTGGGGTAACTAGGTGCTGTGGGGTAACTACGAGCCCCGGGGTAAAATGGGGCGATATTCACGTGCCTTGGGGTACAGGGCTAATATAAAAACGTTGGATCAGTAAGGGTTGAAGATAAAGTACTCGGATGGTATAAACAGTCTTATTAGACGCAGAGATCAAAACATGGTTTTTAATTAAGTGGTTGTTTTGTGAAGTTATTGATCTTGGCTTATTGTGGATTTTAATGGAATTAGTTTTTTGTGTACGCGGTTTTAATTTGATAGTTCTGTATCATATTGCTTACAATAAAAAATCATGAAATTTTGAAAGACCTGTTGATATACGATAAATGTACTGCAGTAACGTTTTAACAACGCCTTATTTACGTTAATAAGGTTGTATTTTAAAATAACCACTACGTTTTCCTATATTCAAATAAACGCAGGAAAAAGTAGCAATAAAAACAAATCACACAACCAGAAGCTCAGAAACCTGACATCATAGGCACACGAAACAAAATACAGAGGCGAACGAAAAACTAGGAAAATGAACAATCGTTTTCGAGCGAAGCATAAAGCGTGCCAGAATCCAGAATCCCGTAGCTGTCTTAACAATCGTCCCAGGTTAACGAGTCAGTTGTCACGTGTGTGACGAATGTCACGTGTTTCAGTGACACAGTGCTGTATCGTGATTCTGGTATTTTTTTTATAACCTGCCATTCGCCTTGTCCCGCTATAATCTTTCTTGTGACGTGACTTGTGTGCTGTAGTTATTGTTTACTTTGATTTTCTGTCTTTGATAAAAAGTGATACAAACTATTTAGCGTTTGTGTAGAGGACATTGAGAACTCATTAAGGTCCTGAATTAATTTTGGTATATTCTTAAATTGTACAAGAAAATATTGATATAATAGAGAGACTCTAACTTAATTGTCATGTTTATGAATTAATGTTTTTTCGTCATAATATATTAAGCACTTGATTCATCTCGTCATACAAGTACTTCAAGTTAATTAAACTGTCGCCACCAGACGATAGTCGCTCCGAACAAAATATTTTAAACCACATTTGAATTGAGAGATAACTCAAACATACTTTAGCGGGAAAGTGCTAGAATGAGCGAGAAATCCGACTCAACTCCACGCTTAGGGGAAGCTGATAACCTCATTCCGTCTCTTTCACTCCCATACAAAACAAAAATTATTGCGGTGGAAAACGGTCGTGAAATAACAAAACACACCTACACACATACATCAATGTAACACAATCCAGAAAAATAGCTTCATCGTTTTTTCCTCGCGTGCCCGTTGCAACGCTTTTCAAGTTTCGGCTCCGTACATTTTTATTTGTACAGTCACACGCAAACGGTGTTATGACGCCAAGTGAAAAATTTGTCGCGGACACACTTTTGTTCGTTTTGGTGCAGTTTCGTGTCCCACCATTGTTTGTGACTGTACTCGTGCTATGGTTCTGACTACCCTCATTATTGCTGGTATTTGTGTAATCATTTTTAGTATGATGTTTCGGATCGTTGTAAGGTTTAAGTAGAAAAATGTTTGATGGAATGTTTGCTTATGCATTTTACATGAGGTTTTCCTTTTGAACTCTTCAATCCCTAATGAAATCATGTAAAATGGGGGAAGTTCATCAAAATTCGGGTACATTTTTTGTCAGTTATTATATAAAACTTCAAGTAGAATTTTGTGGCAATGTCACTTTGTAAGTTATTTCTGATGTTCAGAATTTCATTTTGATATCAATAATTACTATTACAGTCCAATGTTGAACTTGATACAAATGTCCCTTGACCTTTAGCACCTTAACATTCAATTAACAGTATTAAAATAATTCACAAAACGCAAATTATAATTACAAGTGACGCATTGCTGAGGAACCATCATTAATAATTTGGACATTGCAATTACAATAAGTGGGTATATAGCGTAGGGCTGCCACATAAAATTTAATAATGGTTCCGCACGAAAAGGACACTTATATTTATCAAGGATGACAGGAAAAAGGAGGCTTCCTTGAGTACAAAATTTTGTACTATAAATTCGCACCCCTTTGTTATGGTTGTATTAAATTGTCGTGGACCAAGCCCCGTGGGGGTTTGATTTAATGTGTTTTTAAATAGCTTTTGTATTATGTATTATGAGTTCATTAAGGTGGGGCATTGAAGGGTTGGTGCGGAAGTTTGCTTAGGATTCATTGGTTTATTGGTATGTTGTAAAATTTATAGCTGTTTTGAGTAGCTTAAATGTTGCTATTAAAATTGATTGGATTTTGTTGTGTTTACGTCTGATTGGTTTACGTAAATAATGCTAATGAGATTTCTTGTTTACGTATTCAGTGATCCATTACCATTATCATTAAAATTAAATACTTGTAAAAATCCGTCAAGGATTTTTATTGTCTAGTATATTAAAAAAAATCGATACTACACAATTCATTGGACAATTTGCCCAAAATTCGAAATACTACTAACATAAAGTGGTTCATACAGTTGGAGACCATTTAGATTGTTGCACAACGCACAAGTTATAACAGCTAGTTCGAACTTGTTAACCATAAATGACATAAGAGTCTAAACTTAGACCATAGTTATCGAATACAAACTATAGTTTAAGACACAGGTGCTTGGAAGATGCAGGGAAGCTTCATGTAGGGTAAACGGTTATTCGTAAAGACGGGGTAGACAGATTTGTGTCGCTTAATTACAGACAATTTTCATTGTTGTTAGAAAACCTCCCTCGAAAGTTGAGCACTGGCCTTTTTGCATCTTGGTGGTATTTTTTTACATTTTTTTATTGTTTTTGTTTAATTGTAGTAACAGTGCTATTAAACTGTTTTTCTTTCTTGTTTTTTAATGCATGACTATTAAAAAAACATGGGACAAATTTAATACAAGCTGTTATAATATATACCTTAATATTACTTTCTTTTGGTACTAGAAAACCAAACAGATAATATCAAATTACTAATCTAATGACTGCTTGGTTGGTGCGGTGGCTGGGCAATTGACTGCCGTGCAACGTGTCGCATGGTACCATGACACCTCATGGTAAGCAATCGGTGTCGCATGGTTAGCAAACGAGCAGACGGATCACCATCTGTTTACTCGTTTACGGGCTTATTGCAAAAAAAAATATTAGGTGTGGAGATGGTCAAAATAATTAGTCCGATCATAGGAACACTACTTTAGATTTACATCGGATTAGGTACTTTTTTCTAGATCATCAACACTGTTCATGTTAAATTAACTCAATATTTTTTAATTGACAAAACTTTAAACAATTGTAATTATCTTTTCGGCTTACTTACGTAATTGTTTGACGAGGAACTCGACTAGTTTCAAGCCACGCTAGAGCTCAGCGTCATTATTTAAATTTGCAGCGTCTTATATATGTGTTTATTATGATTACCATAACAAAACCACCACGACTGTTATTCAGAAGAATATTTTCTAAGGCTTTGATGGAAACAAGCGAGTTCATTACGAGATTGTAAGTTTCTTTCTAGAATGTTCCTTTTGAACTGAAGTGACCTTTTGCTTAGAATAAATGTGACATTACAAGGTTGTCAAGTTGACTACTTACTTATTCTAGTTGGTAAATCAGGTCATATGGGTTCAACTCTCGCGTCAATTTATTATTGTGTTTTTTTTTTTGCATTTCTTGTACTGTAGCACTATTGTGGTGTTCGAAATGATATGATATGATATTCGATGTTAACTTTCGTTGGGAGTTAAAATTGTCAGTAACAAGGGGGCATCATCATCATCATCATCAACAGCATATAATTACCCAC